ACGAAGCAGAACCTCCCTTCTTGATGAACTGCAGGCTCTATGCAGAAGGAACTGCAAGAGTGAGTCTTGTGATAAACACATCAGGCCCCCGCCCCTAGTAGTCTAACAAATAACCTTAGAAGTATTGTTAAGGATGTTTTTATTAATTATTTTGTTTCCTTTCCCAAGGTTTTTTTGCTTAGTTCCATTCCTAGGAAGATTGTTTCAAGGTTAAGGTAATTTGTGCAATAGATTTTGCAAATGCATGATGTTATATTTTTTATTTGAAAAATTTTGAGTAAATTAAGACTTTTATTTCATTTTTGCAGAATTTTTTTCTTGAGCTTGGTGATGTTGGCAATTGCTGATAGTGCCGTTGAAATGTTGTTTCTTGGTGTCTCTAATTTAGCCTCAGTGACAGGATTCAGTCTCCATTCAAGGTTAGTCTGGCTTAAAATTAAATAACTGTAATTTATGGCAATTTACTTGCACAATATTCACTTGATGCTGCATGCCACTTTAAAAGGGAAACTTGTAATCTTAGGTAAATATGCCCCTTTGTCATGTCACCCCAAGTCATGTGGCCTCCTGGCTAAGTGATTTGCCCCCTTAAAAAAAAATGGGAAATTGCTCATTACATCACTTTTAGACGTAAGGGTATCAAAGAGTATCAGTGGTTTGCAATAGTCAAACTCAGTGGTAATTAATCACAATAGTAAAAGACTTGTTTAAGTCCACATTGAGCTGACCAAAACAGTGAAAAATGTCCAACTCCTGCCTCAGGCTTTACCATAAGTTTTGACTTATTAAATAAGAATTTAAATGCAAAAAAAAAAAATGGAAGAAATAAAGAGATCAATTTTGCTGCAATACAGGCCAAAATTAGCAAGAACTAAGTATTCTTAGTTGAAATTTTGTTAGTATGGTAATAAGCAATGAAAGATGTCTTTATTTTTTTCCTGATAGTGGCCAGTGGATAGCAGTTTCACTCATTGTACTTGGCTTTTTTGTGGAGGCCTTTGTTTCCATAGTGACACTCATGAGTTACTGTGCTCAGTGTGAATTGTTGACCTTTTATCTCCGCGAGATTTGTCAGAGAATGGAGGAAAAAACCAAAGATCTCTCTGCTTTAATGAAAGTAATCACAGCTTTGTGGAATATTCTTGAGACATGACTTTTTAAACAATGAATCCCACCCCAAAAAAATTATAATGAGATTAGGCTTCAATACTTTTTCAAAGTTTTATTTCAGCCTCTGAAATTCCCCCACCTCTCCCACCAACCCCTGTCAATTTTAAGTTAACCCTTTCACTCCCAATTATCTCATTCATAATTAAGTAATTCTCCTTACTGTCTGCCATACAATTCTTAGTTTGTTAGTTTGGAAAATTTGGTATTGGATCAACTGATAATCCCCTAATTTATCTTTTCCTTTATCCTCATCACTTGATTGCTTGATATTGTAATGATATTGTTAGGAGAAATTTTGTCTTGATCACTCATGGTAGTAAAAGGGTTAAATTGAAAATGAAGGTTGCAATTAAATAGACATGAACCTACTTCTCAATTAAAGTTTTAAATGGTAATTTTTTGAACATGTGAACAGAAGTGGAATCAGAATTTTAGTTAATGGCTTAAATCAGTGGACTTACTCGTATCTTTTTGTTGCAAAACCCATGGTTTCTCTTAACCTGTGAAAACTCTGAAAAAAAACTGCCTTCCTTCCCTTAATCAGACACCAATGTGCATTTTCCAGGATATATATATTTACTTATGTCTTTGGAAAGAATCTTTAACACCAGTTATTAACAGCTTGGTTACATGCATATGTAAAAATCATCTGTACTTGCAAAACCTTGAAGGCCCTTCTTTTTAATCAAATCACTCAGAATTATGAAGCAGTCAGGGACGAATAGAGTATGGCTTGCAATCATATCCCTACCCTTAATTTTCCTTAATTTTATTACAGATCTATTCCTCTCATTTTCCTTGAAAGAAAATGTAAAAGATATCTCAAATTCAATTGAGCATTATAACATCCTCAGCTTGCATGTTTTTGTTTTAGGACGTAATGGATGTAAAGAAAAACCTCAACAATATGAATGGAAAAATATCCATAATTGCAAGTCTAATTGTGCTCTGCTACCTTAAAATTACTGTGGCAGGTAATCATTGATAATTGTAGGGTGTTTATTTCTGCTTATCATTATGAAGTTTGATTCAAGCTTTGAATTCAATAATAAGGTTCTTGTGTGAAGGCATTCTAGAGGAAGAACAGGATGCCCAAGCTTTGCATATTTATGGAACCTCATTTTGTAAGCCTTGGCTACCTGTGGAGGAGGAAGGAATTGTTGAAGCTATTTGCAATAGGGCAAGGCAAACTTAGGGGAACCGATAGAGGCGCTGCCAAAGAAGATAAAATTTCCAGGTGGCATAGTCTCAGATTTTCATGTATAAAGATATATACTGTTAGCAAGATGACCTGTACTATCACAGCTCTAACCCTTTAACATCCAGAAATGATTAAGATGTAACTTCTCCCTTCAATATCCATACATTATTCAGCAAACAGGTTATGAGAATACTCAAACTTTCTAGGTAGATGTTGTCATCTTGATCTAACACCAAATTCTTGTAATCAATTTACAAGGAAATGTGCAGCAGCTAGAGGGGAGAATTAACAATCAGATCTTGGGAGTAAAAGGGTAAAATGATCTCTGTATCAAACTAATGCTCAAATATGAAGCACAAATCCTTGCCTGGTGTGTGATTAAGTTCAAATTAAAAATAGGTTGTTCCACAATGGCTTTGTTTGCTGATGCACTAACAGGGTACTAAGTAAAATGTGTAAAGAGATATTCCAATCAAATAACACATATTATATCACCAACATTAGCATGATTGCTCTAACAAATTTCTGTGCTATTTTACTCTTGCAGAGGTGATCAACATGATGACCTGCATTAGGAATGACAAACAAAGTGCCATTACGTTCCTTTACAGATTGTTAGCTCCAAACTTGTCCTTCTCTTTTATAATGATTCCCTTTATAGTGGTGAGTACTTTTAAAGCATTTGGTATGTAAACAAAGATTCATTTCATCCTGTCTCAGCTGACTGTTGAACCCATGCTGACAAGTGAACTAATCATTAATCAATCCCTAGAAATACATCACACTTCCAACTGCACATTTCAAAAATATGGTCTTATATTGAGGCTGAAGATATCTTGTGAGATATATCATCACTTGGTCTAAAAACAAGCCTGGTGACACCATTATGGGGAAAAAAGAGAAGAAAGAAAAACATTGTAAAATACATTGGGCATCTTTTTATATGAAAAAAAAAAGGGTGAAGTCTGTACTCGAACCAAGTGGCTCAACCAGCTAGGGCTTATCCTGCTTTCCTTAGCATAAAGTAGCTAAGAGTATCACTAATCCCCCCTGGATGGGATGTTAGTCCATTGCAAGGTTCCCCCCCCCCCCCCCCACCCTAGAATTTCATCAGGCTTCCTTTAAAAATTGCCAGTCACCATTCATACTCCTGGAAGTAGAGAGGCACTGTCAGAGGAAATGTTTTGCCCAAGAACACAACACATTGACCCAGGCAAGACTCCAACCCAGACCTCTCAATAAGGAGTCAAATACCTTAACCATCAGACCATCACATGTCTCACACTTTGTCTCACATCTTTTGTTTGTTTTTCTTTTTTTTATATAGCTGATGTAAAGTTCTTCATTTGGAGCCAGTGAAGAGTGTGAGTTGGTTTTGATTTTTTTATAACTTCTTTATTTGCAGGCTGCTCGCTTTAGTGCAGTGGCACAGAAGTTTAAACAGCAAAGCCTGAATGTCAGAGTGTTTGGATATCCTTCAGCCACACAGCTGGACCAGGACTCTTTCATTTTGTTCACCCAAGGTGTAGAAATGAAGGTTAGTTTGGTCCTACAAAAAATTTGTTTCTTGGGGGAAGGGGAAGGGGGAGGGTGGATCACTAGCAGGAGTTGATAGGTTTGTGGTTTGTAAATTAGTGAATTCAGCCTTGAAAATCTCATGGATTGTAGATTTTTATAAAAAATTAAGCAGCTTGGCAAAATTTTAAAAATGTGTACAAATACTGTCCACCTAAGAGAGGGATTTCTGCATCAGATTGTTAATCTTTGTATTTTTTCAGCAATCCTCTCCTATGCCTGATATATGACAAGCTGAACATACTTATATACACTCATAAAGTGATGAAGATCCAGATGTGAACAAAAACTTTTTGACTAGACTAGGGTGGAACAGTTTATGGTTATCTAAAGGGTTTCAATGTCCCCATGTTGAAAATTTCTTATGGCCCTTTATGTCATGCAGGTATTAGTCAAATTTTCCACATAGCACTTTCTGGAATTAATTTCCAGGGTTAGGTTTTTTTGGTCTGATTATTTAAACAAAGTTTAGTCATTTTTCAACAAAACCACCTCCAAAACAATCCTCCATCAATCTAGCCATGTCTATTCATTTTTTTGAACAGAGTCAAGGGGGCCAAAAGCTAACAGTGGCAGGACATCTATTTAATTAAATCAACCCTCTTATGAAGAAAGCCTGAGGCCCACTGATTGTGTAAAACCGCAGTTTGCGTTTAGTGATTTATCAACTCACAAGGAAACATCAGATAGTAGCAACTTTATAAAGATTGTTCAAGAGAATCCAGGTTTTTTAAAATCTTTAATCATATATCATTGTTTCCTTCACTAGGCCAAACTGATGTTGATGCCAATTCATGGCTCGTATGTGTCTGCTACTGTGATACTGATCATGTTTGGGCTCCTGGTATTGATCCAATCGCATATCATACCTACTAATACTAGATACCTTTGAGAAGTGGACATAAGCTGTTATTTTCTGCCACCCTTAGTAACCTCCCAAGGGAACTAATAGGGTTCAATGAAATACTTACAGGTTTAAAAGAGAATGAAAATTGAGGAGCTGCAGTGAAATGGTTGAATATTGTTTCCATGGGTTTTGTTTTTGTTTGGCTTTTTTTTCCATAAACTGAATTGTAGGTTTAAAATAATTGTTTGTTGTTACAGAACAATTAAGTAAAGCTGGTTTCTGTTTATAATAACACACTTTTCTTTTTATACTGAAATATCCTCTTGTTTTCTACTTTTTTCAAAACAATTTTTTTTTTTGATGGAGTTATAGAACATTTTACAGTGTGTACCGGAAGGATAGGCCATTTAATTTGACTGATTGAAATGGGGCAAGCCTGAATTTTAAAAAGAGTGGTCATTGAATATAATTATTAATCATCTTTCATTGAAAAATACCCAACGGATGATTAAGTGGTATTCCTTTTCCAAGGGTCCATTAGTATGGAGTTTTAACTTCCTGAAGAGATTCCACTTTGCTGCACATCCTTTTAGTAATAAATCACAGATGTCAAAATGTGTTAGAACAAATATGTGGCAGAAAAGTTAGAACTGAGTGTGTCATTAATGGTCTTACCACATTTGGCAACTTCTAGTGATCAAGTTCTGTACACAACCATAGAAACAAGGAGGTAACACAGAATTTACTTGTTTTATATGATTAAAAGGCAAAATATTGTTTATAGTGCTGTCACCTATGCATCTATCCACTAATCTACAAAGAAGAACCAGTCAAGATGCATGTATGATTCAGCTTACGATATAATGCTAACTTAATTATGGTATAATTGTAAATGGGATTGTAAATAAATTTTAACAAAAGGTAGAGAAATAAAATGTTGATGCAGAATACATTGTGAGAAGTTCAACACTTAACAATTGATTCATACGTCAGCATGCGTTCATCAAGATATGAAGCACTTGGGAAGTTTGGAGAGTACCAAAGATGTGTAAGAGTTGCTTGAGGCTTAGCTGAGAGCAACTGTAGCTTCTTGAGTGCTACCCAAACTTCCCTAGTGCTTCATATCTCAACGAACACACAGCTGACGCATGAACCAATTGTTTTATAACATTTTCAACCCAATGGTAAATTTTTTTATCAAGGGATTTGTTTGCTGACGTCATGAGTGTGTACAATAGGAATATGAAGCACGTTGACGCAATTGAATTTGATTAGACAAATTTACTAGCTATGTTATAATAGATATTTACATATACTGTGATGATTTTATTAAGCACCCTTGTTCCAATAACTGCCCTCTCTCTGATAAGTGCCCCCCCTCAAATTAATTGTTAATTGGTGCCCTTATTGAATAAGCACCAAATTCAACACCAAATTCTTGCAGCTGAAGTTAAAAGAAATGTAGACAGTACAGAAAATGAATTTGTTGATCTTAGGAAAGGGTCTCACAGTATTACCTAATAAGTAACTTCCCTTGCCTCTCTCTGTCATTGTTTTATCTATCTTTATCTGATATGTGGAAAGCTCAAAGGCAAGTAACTATATAGAAAAAAACACAACAAACAAATACCACCATCTTTGCATAGGAAATCTTGGTATTAAATAAATAAATATCTAATTTTTCAATCTGGTTTAACAACTTGCTGAGGCAGTATTCCTCATCAAATTTTCATATTTAATGAACCAGCTGGAGTTTTCAAACAGTTATTTTGATCTGTGGGTGCTTTATCCACTCAGCATTTTTCATGATACTGCTAGTAGAAGAGAAACCTGAGAAGTAAGAACAAAGTTTTTACTAACACCAGAACCCTCATCCCATTTTACCACTGAATAACAATAAGTGAAGTCCAACCTCGCCACAGTGGTCAAACAGAAGTGACCAACAGGGGAATGTGGAAGTGTTATATGAGACCTGAAACGTCTCAGGTTCAAAGATGGGAATAGTCTGTTGGCCATGATCCTTGTGAAGAGGTTGTTGTTGTAGATAGATTAAATAAAAAGACTGAATGACTCTCCCAAAAAGGAAAAAGTGGCTGTTGTGAGGAAGTTGCCATTGGTGACAGTTTTGACTGTATCCAGAAGTTAGCCCTGACAGTTTCACAACAGAAAACAAACTATAACATATGGGTGACTCAGATTTTTCCTTTGTCCCATGCTTGTGACACAAACAGATTACAACTTTTAATAAAAAAAATCACAAGCACTATCACCCATTACCTTCCAGAGCAACAGCAAATGCACCTTGGTCAACAATGCCATTATTGTTACTGTGCATGTAAACTTAACAAACCTGCTGAATTGATGGACATCCAATGATCTGTTGATCTTCTTCAGAGTAGGTTTCCATCACCAAGTCATTCATTTGTTTGTAATATTCTTGAACCTTAGCCTGTAATGTTATAGAATTCCATTGAGTATTCTAATCTCAATGTAAAAGAAAGAGTGAATTCTTTTTTGTAAATCCAGCCTTGTTACTTTCAGTGGCAGGCTCTTACCAAGTACTGCAATATCAACAGTTTTTTTTTGTTTTTGAAGAGCATGTTTTAGTTAGAACTATATTTACAATTCCAAGAGCAAACTCATGAAAATATAACATCCCAAAGTTAGTGATATTTAAACTGTGACACTGCCCTAAGTGGTCTCTTAATACTCAGCATTAAAAGCAAAAGTTCCATCTTTTATGCCACAGTTTGGTCCCAGGTCCTTGTTATAAATGGATACCCTCGGTAATGATTTGCTATACACGTGTTTTTGCCATTGGAATGTTAGGTTTTGTATTTATATCAGGAAAAGAAATTACTGTTGATCATTACCTTGACAGGTTTAAAGAGAATGTACTCTGTGTCTTTGTTTGCCAAAAACAAAGCCATGCTTTGTAGAGTGCTTGTGAGCTTGGACTTCAGCAACATGTAAGTCTCACTAACAACTTTGCGAACATTCTCTGAAAAACAAAATTAAGAAAATTTAAAGTACAACGCATAACTCTATTCATGACTTAAAAAAGTGCTAGAGGTTATAAAGCTTTTCATGTAACTACCCAAACTATTAAAGTAAGAAATATTTTTTATCACCTGGTTTTGCAAAAGGTTGTTGCTTGAGGAATGCTTTAGTATCTTTTCCTTCCTCTTGGGCAAGATTCTTAATCACTGTTACCTGTAAGAAAAATTTCAGAAAATCCATATTCCTTTATTTTTCTCATGTGCACTTGACATCTTTGAGTAACTAAGAGTGTACTAGTTACACAAAAAAACTATTTTAACCCTTTTCACCCCCAAGACTTCTTTTATTTAGTAATTCCCCCTACTGTTTGTCATACAATTCTCATGATGTTATCTTAGAGAATTTGGTATCTGATCAACTAATAATCCCCTAGTTGATATTCTTCTTTATTCTCATCACTGGTTTGTTTGATATTATATTGGCATCATAAGGAGAAATTCTGTCTTGGTCACTCATTGGAGTGACAGGGTTAATAATGAAGTTATTTGCCACCTGTTTTGTTTAAGTACCAAACCATCCACAACCAAAAACCAAGGCAGACAGATCACTCAATCCATCAAGATTCAACTTACCTTGGTCAAGAACGCTGACAAAGGAGAGATGAGAGACTCTGATACATTTTGAATAAACTGCTCACACACAATCCTGAGTTCAACATCAACATCCTTCAGTTGATAACAAAACAAAAGTGCTCAGTTATGAAATGGAAATAGCCACAAAGCTAGAGTGTAATATTATCACGACTCTATAAGAGAGATCCTCTACACTTGTTGTATTAGTGGGGCAAAAAATGTAATTAATTTCCTACAAGGAATTGAACTGCACCTAGTTTCAATTTAATGTTCAGATTCCCAACCAGCTGAGCTGTAAAGAACTCATTTGTACGCCAGGTCATAAAAGACCATAACACACATCCTTCAAATACTTGTATCAGCAATTTTTGATGTGTGTTGCTTTAAGATTGAGTAAGATAAAAATAGTAAAAGAAGCAAAGAGAACTCAAAAGCTCTCTTGGGTGACTCTGTAAATATGAACAATTTAGATTCAGATCAAAGCTAAGTTTGTCCAAATATTTAGCTTTCCTTACCTTCTTTGAATCCAGATAGTTTTCTGTTAACTGAGGCGCTCCCTGAAACAGAATTACCATAAAGTATAGCTAGTGTTCAGCACTACTTTTTAAGATTCCCACCAAAACACATCAGGATAAGGGCATACTGTCTAGAAATGAGTGCATCTCTCTCCTTAATATCTAACAAACTTACATCTAACAAAAATTCCAGCAATGCATTGTTGCCACTGAGAGCAAACAGCCTGTTGCTGTGACTCCACAAACCATATGCTGCAGTCCGCATTTTACTGAAGTCCAGCGACATTTCCTTGACAGCAAAATCAACATCAAAAGGGGCAATCTGCTCTCTGAGGATCAGCAGATGTTTTATGAGGAACAGATGACCGTTTATAGAATCCTGGAAAAAATGCCAGACTTATATAAATGTAGAGCATACAAACCAAATGCTAAATATTAGCCCTTTACAACCTTACATCAGTATACAAGTTCTCATACTGTTTTCCATACATTTCCTAATGATGGAACTTGCAAGGAGAATTTGTCTAACAATCAAGAGCTTATTGAGGTCGCAATCATTCCCTTCAGCAGCATCTACTTCTCCAAAGGGATCTTATACATAACTGAGTCAACACTTGGCAGTCACCTAAATCTGTCAGTTTGTATCTGTACCTTTCTCTGAGCAATAAGAGAGCTTGCTGTTTTAAGGGACTGGATGCAGAGGGACAAAGCCTCCTGAGAAAGGCCTTCAAATGTTTCTTTCTAAAATGTAAAAGGTGAAATCAAACATAAACTTTCAAATCAATAAGATATGAACTAGATGAAATCACAGAACAGAAAATCAAATACAACCCAGAGAAGGTAATAATCCTCACCGAGATGCACCGATAGAGTTTTGAGAGACACACCAGTGTGCGTCTGACTGTTGGGTACCACATACCCTGAAGGTCCGCTAACGCTCCTGGTAACTCTAGAAACAAAAAAGATACAAAACAGGTGAAGAAATGTCAGACAGATGCATTTGAATATGACAATGCTTTTGATCATAACTAACCAACAGACTTCTTCTCTTCTTCTCCAGATTGTTTTTCCTCTTTGTCATTATCCCCTGCCTGAAAGTTGAATGTAGAATGAAAGTCTTTAGATAACACTAAGTTGGCTGCAAGAAGTTTAACTCCTGTTATATGGGAAGCCAGTCTACCCTGGTCAACCTCTCACAAGTTCATTAGGTGTCTCTGATAGTTTTTCATCCCTTTCACTCCCAAGATCTCATTATTAATTCTCCTTACTGTCAGCCAAACAATTCTTATGATGTTAGCTCAAGGAATTTAGTATTGGATCAACTAGTAAATCCCTAATTGTCTGCTTGATATTTTATTGATATTAAAAGGCAAAATTCTGTCTTGTGCATGTGTAGGAGTCAAAAGGTTAAGTAACCTACAGTTTCAATCTTACAGTAGTGTTTACCAACCCCAATAATAAGTTTTTCTGGATAAGCTAGATCACCAGGTGCTGGGGAATATTTCTGGATGTCACTCTCAATGTACGCCTGCCAAAAAATAGAAAATTGGTGTCAAATAGGAAAATGTTTGTCACATAGTGAAATGACACTCGTCTTCCTAAGATAAGCTCCAGTGATATCCAAATTAGTTGTTCGTATCAGTAGTTGTTACCTGTGCCCGGTAAACCAGCCGTTCTTGTACATCCTCTAACATCTGTAGAACAACAACTTCAAAAGCGGCTAGTTCTTCACCTGAAAAAGAAGAGTAATTTTAGATTTCAACCAACCCCTGCATTCTCTCAAATTGTTTGACATAAAAGGAAGGAAAAAATTCTTGGCTCTGCGTCATCTATACATTAAAATAACAAATTCAAAATGTTTTGCTAACTAGTAAAATTTAACAATTATACCTTTTTGCTGCACATGATCCTCAATCATTTCCACCTAAAGAGGACCAAAAAAGAACAATTATTATAATACCCCTAATAATATACATGGAAAAGTTATGCACTTCTGATTGGCTGAAAATTAGTGCATTCTCATGTAACAAGAGTGCAAAGTTGTAACACAAATGCAAATTACAAATAGTGTGCAGACGCTTTCAAAATTTTGTCTGTCCTGACTCTCCATGATGTTTTTTCATGTACATTATTAACAAGTAATAACATGATGTTGAATGCAATTTGCTGTAATAAGCATTTGTAAATTTTCCGAAGACTACAAATGGCATTTGCCCTATGGGCTTGTGCAATTTTGTTATCTTCAAAAAATTTACTAGTGCTTATTAACACCAAATTGCACTCGAAATCATGCTATTATCTTTAGGATCACATTTTTCCATATAATATTTTAGGTACAGAAATTAATAAAATTTGGTGGCCTTACCCACTTCCAATATAAGTCATTTTCTATCACTTGGCAGTGTTCTCCCTTATCTTACACACGAGAGGTATGTGAAATTTTTAAACCAATAGGCAATCCTTGAAACTATTGATTTTTCTAGAATTCCAAGTAATTTTAAGATGTAAGACAAATGGCAAATTTTACCAGCTACTGCTTAAAAGGAGAGCACTGCTTGGAAATGGGTAGAAAGCTTTTAATTAATTTACTAAGTCCACATACAATCTACAATAATGACAACAGTGATCATAATTATGACAAAATAAATTTACCTTTAATATTGTGCAGAGTTCAGTGAGTGTCTCCATGTGATTCATGTGGATTATTACAGGTCTCAGCGAATCATATAAAGTACTGCACAAAATTTCTAACAAGGAGCTACAGAGCAAAAAGAAATTTTGTTTTGAAACATTAACAAGAAACCACTCAGAATCATTCCCTCTAAATCTACTCTGTCAGCTTTGCAAGCCCTCTGTGGTTGCAGCCAATATTTTTTAACTTCATTCCCCATTGTACACATTTCTTTCATCAAGAGCTTGACTCTCACTACTTGACTTGTATGAAAGGCCACATTCTCACAAGCGAGTAAACAAACTTTCACAAAGGTAAAAAGATTACAAGTGATAAAATATTTCACTTACTCGAGACCTGAACTTGGCCTAGAGAAGAAGTGATAGTATAACTGGTATTCATCCTGACAGACGCGAATCAACACTGAACAACCAGCACGAACCTACAGAAAGAGATTTATGTTTAACTTTTTTTTTATTTCCCTAAAAATTCTTCTATGCCAAGGTTAAACAAATGTGATTCTAAGGTTGGTTATCATTGGCCTGACTTAACTCTTTAACTCCCAGGATCTGATTGTTAATTCTCCCCTCTACCTGCTGAACATTTCCTTGTAATTTAGTCATGAGAATTTGGCATGAGATCAAGATAACAAGTTCTAAATGATAAGTTTGAATATTCTCATTACCTGTTTGCCGAGTGATATAAGGATATAATGGAGAGAATTTTCATGTTGATCACTTCTGGGAGTTAAAGGATTAAACATTTGATCCCTAACAGTGACTTGCATCTAATTTCTCCTCACATTATCATCCCTGAATAAACATTATGGTCATGAGAATAAAGAAACTGATTGCAACCTCCAGAAGCTCTTGATTGTTAGACAAATTCTCCCTGTATGTACCACAGTTAATATAAGAAGAGTAAGGAGAACTTGCATACTGATGTTAGGGTGTGGTACTGTTACAGGGTGTTTCTCACTTTTAAGTGGGTAAAATTCCTCTGCTTCAAACATTCAAATGAAAACTTTTCCAGCTGTACTTTCATGTCAAATGACACAATCAGCACCACAAAGCAGTTTAGAAACCTCATTTTGCATTTCTGTGCATAAACTTACCAGAGAACAAGGATTTCTTTCATACTGCTTGGCCAGTTTATCAATAGCATCACTAACACATGGAGTCAGGAGTTGAGAACGCTGAGAGAGATAACACTGCTGGCAGTCACCTAAAAGTGAACTGTACCTGAAACATCAAGAAACAAAAAATGGTACCTCTCACATATAAAAAAAAGCCTTAAAAAACTGCTTTTCACTGTCACTACTGACAGTAGTTGTCTGTAATTAATACTTACTCAGAACTTAAGTGACTCCTCTGTTCAATCTGTTCCATTAAACTCTGTTAAAGAAAAGAATAAAATGAATTATTAGTAAATGGAGCGAATCAAAAATTAACTGGCCTTCATTGACGGGCAGTTAACCCTTTCAAACAACTTCAACAACAAAAATCACTCCCAGCAGAAACCAAGACATAATTTTGTTTTGCAGTATCAATACAATGTCAAGCAGACTAATGATGAAAATTGAGAAAAATATCAATTAGGCGATTATCGTTTGATCCAATACCAAATTCTCAGAACCAAAATTATAATCAATTTATGGCAGACAGTAAGAAGAATTACCAAGGACATATTGGGAATGAAAAGGTTAACTGTATCTCCCTTCCAACAAATAAATAAAGTTAAATACAGTGACTGACCTTCACTCTTGGAGCACAAGTCCTGAATTTCCCATAAAATAAAGCAAAGGAACTTTCAGAAGAATTTCCACCTTCCTGAAATAGCCAGTGACAAAACAAGAAAACAAGTTTCCTTTCAAAATCATCATACCCTCAAAAATATTCAACTGCAGCACTGGAAATAAGTTTTCTTCCTAAACAGGACATGTGTCAAACCAAATCTTCCTTTTGACCTGACATATTTTCAACCAACATTAACTACAATGAATAATCAACTTGACAGATAAGCATAATTAAGAACAAAAATGAAATTTGTTACCATAATGGTCTTTGAACACTAGTGTCCAAAATGGCACATTTCTATCTAAAACTGATACTTCTTCCTAAAATCAAATGATACTGTCTAAATTGGATGTGTTTAACATTCTTTCCAAAAGGAGACTTTTGTCTCTAAAATCAGACACCAGTGCCTAAAATCAGACACTATAATCTAAAATTGGGCACTAGTGTCCAAAACCAGACACCAGTGTCTAAAATTAGACACTAGTATCTGAAATAGAACACTATCGGTTGTTTTTGAAATAGAAACTCATGTCCAAATCACACATAAGTATCCAAAATTGGACACTTTTGTCTAAAATAGGACACTTTTTTTAACCATTTTCCATCAACCTACCTTATTTGCCAACACCTGTGCTGTGGCATTTTTCAGCAAATTCACAACATGCATTTTCACTTGATTGAGGGCCTGGTTCAAGCACTGTTTGAATCTGACAAGATACACTTGGGATTCTTTGAACTGAGGCTACAAGTACAAAAAAATGTATTCATATGTAATCCACTAGTTTTGCAGCTACCGCATTGCAACTGAATTCAGCAGCTTGCAAGAGGCATGCTGCATAAGAATATGGCTGGTATATAGCCCCATGAGACCTCTGACACTCATTTGCAGAGTATTTGATGGGTGTTCCTCCAGGACCTTGGATATAAATGTATTCTTTGTCCAATACCCTATGAAATGTGGACTTTATACACTTAATGGAGCCTCAAGCTTTGCAGTATGCAGTCATGGGGTTGGGGGATGGGGATGGATCTGAACTTATATCCTTCAACAACTGGCATTCAGCAGCATACCAAGCTTTCTCATAATGATTATATTTATTGAAAAAAAGGAGGAACAAACACCCTAGTATTCCCTCCCCCAACTGCAACCTTGCTCAGCCAAGTTTGAAGATCATAAAAAATAACTTTTTAAGATGAATTTATAAACAAAAGGTTTAACCCTTCCACTCCAAAGATCTCATTGGTAATTCTCCTTACTTTCTGCCATCCAATTCTTATAATTTTAGTTGAGAGAATTTGCTGGATGATCAATTAAAAATCCTCTTATTGATATTGTTCTTTATTCTCGTCACTTTTCCACTACATATCGTATTAACATCATAAAGAGAAATTCTGTCTCATTCACTCATGGGAGTTGAAGGGTTAAGGACAGAAAACTTACATTGCTTGATATAAATGAAATACACTCATCAAGTCTTGCCAACATCGGAACAAAGGACTCGCTTGTCACAGAGAGCGTGGATGAGTTGAGTTTCTGAAAACAAACCAAGTTGAATTACCAATAATTCTAGTCCATAATGATTCTACATTAAAGTACAGTTGAACCTGTATTAAGCCATCACTCACAGAGAATGGCAGGTCCACTGCTTAATACAGGTTCCTCAGATTAGGGGTATTATAAAAAATGATAAACAATGCTACTTTATGTCACAATTGACCACTCAGTGCACAGAATCTTGCTCAATAATATTAGATAATTTGGTTTTGGGAGAGAAACATGGAATAAAAATTACCCAAAAGATTATTCTTAGATTTATTTGAGTGGCATTGCTTCCAGAAACTGATTGATACATGTGGAGGAAAAATGAAAACAAGCCACTGGGACTTACAAAAGAGTGGCCTAAGAGGAGAAAATTACTACAGTGATTAAGGGAAAACAAATTCAGGACTTCAATGACATCTGACTGCTCAAAATGGGGTGACTGCTTCATATGACGCCCCATAACACAGGTTTGATTGTACACCAAAATGACAAATGTACAACTTATTAGTGAAGGCTCTAACAAAAATTTTTTCTAGCATAACAATGGTCTGGTTACTCACATGTCTAAGATGATCTAAAGCATTGAAGTAGGACAACTTGTTGCTGATGCTTTCGGCCATGTTCATCAACTTTGTCTGAAAGGTTGCCATGTAAAAATTAATATATGAACTATTAATGTGGAAAAAAAGGTTCTTAACCCCTTCACTGCCAAGATCTGATTATTAATTCTCCCCTCCAGCTGTGACTCACTACCCTGTACATTAGTCACTTCTGGGAGTTACAGGGTTAACATTTGAAACTTCAAAGCTGCTGCAGATAATTCAGTAGATGTAAGCAACCATTAAAACACTCCGGCCCATGGTTTAATCATTTTGTTATCTTGTAACCTTGTTGACCTTGACCAACTGCTACAAGGAACAAATTTTCAAGGCCCAACTACAGTCACATTGTTTTGGTTCTACTACATCTGTTACCTCAACACCACTAATTTCTGCATTATTTTGAAATCACTCCCACAGCTAATGTTTAACCCTTTAACTCCCAGAAGTGACCAAGACAGAAATTCTCCTTACAGTATTAATACAATATCAACCAGATAAGTGATTAGAACAAAGAAAAATATCAATTTGGAGATAATAAGTTGATCCAATAGTAAATTCTCTGAACGAACAATTATAATAATTGTATGGTTGATAGTAAGGAGAATTACAAATTTGATCTGGGAGTTTAAGGGTTAAAGGAAGGTAAGGTCTCCAATGAAGAGAGTTTAAATGAAACTCAAAAGTCTACATCTTTCTCTCTGACCTGATCTTGAAGAAGTTGTTCACAAGCTTCATGAAGAGCCCCAGTTTTTGTGGATACCAATAAGTGCTTCTGCTGTAGATCCTGCAGATGATTCAAAGCTGACTCCACTTCACTCAGAATACTGTCACAATGATCACGATAAGAACGCAACTGTGCTGCATAGGATCTGAGGAATAAATTATCCATATACCAGGTGTTACAAAGATCTTTTACTTCCAAGATCTAAGAATTAATTCTCATGACTGTCTGCCATATATTTCTTTAAAAGTCACTTCAGGGGATTTGGTGCTTAGTCACGCAGTATTGTCTGGTTCTAATCACCTGTATCCTTCACATGAAATCAATATTATAAAGCAAAATTACTAGTGGTAGTAGTAAACCTTTATTTATTATAAAGCAGGGTAAATCCTTCAGTCATTTGATATAACTGTTTTCAAGGGATGCCCTGTTTAACACATAAAATCTTACAATTAATACTAACTGTATTTACAAACTATTCTATTATATAAAAAAAATATCAGAAATGCTATTAAATGCATATATCTACATATATAAAAAGTTACAAATAACAATTTAAAATTATACAGTCATTATGATAAAACTATTTGTTACATTTGGGAATAAAACCCATGTTAACCTATCCTTTACATAGTCAAAACATTTTTTTTGGGTCACAGAACAATACCCATTAATTTTCCGTTACCTGTAAGATGATTCCTGCTCCTCCTCCATTTGTGCTTCAACATTTGCAAACCAAGCAAAAAACTGTTAATGAAAAAAATTTAGTTTAAAACTTACCTAATAACATCATAGCACAACTAGGCTTTGTGAACAGCACAGAAATCAACACTACTTTCAAGATAAGTCAAAAGAGTGATTTAATTCTGATGGTCATCTTTATACCTTAAACAACATTCAAACTTGTTCAAAATAAATTAGAATGATTGACATCTCACACACCACACTGGACTGACCCAGATTTTGAAAGCAGCTTAATGTAGTCTGATTGGTGGTGAGCATAGTCCTGAGAAGGACTGTTGGTAACTAGTTAGGTCCTTCTGTTTGGTTTATTTGTGATGTTAATGTCATGAATATTCCTTACTGATTTGAAGAGAGTGGGTTGGATTTCTCTAATCCTCTAATTGATATCTTTCCTTATGCTCACCACTTATCTGTTTGATATTCTATTGATATTGTAAGGAGAAATTCTGTCTTGGTCACTCACGGGAGTTGAAGCTTAAGGATTAACAACAGAGATGAAAACCCAACCTGCTGAGCATTTTCTATTTTTTCTGATCCCAAATCAACTGTTGCCATGTCCACAGCAGCTTCTTTACTGGTTTCACTCAAGGTCCTCTTTGCAGGTAAACTAGTGCAGTCGTCATCAGGTAACTTTGATTGATTAGCAGAGAATAATAAAGAAATATGCTTTACTTTAAAGTGAGTGGGACTATGTGCCCTGTCATTAAGATGAAGAAAAATGTATTGATCTCCTGTTCCATGATCTCACATCACAAGCATTCTGTTTAGCAATCAAATTCATTTAAGTAGATAAACAATTGGGTATGCAAAACCAGATTAAAAAAACTAAGCAAAACGAGGAAGTAACGTGAGGAAATATTTATGTAAAATAATTACGAAATATGCATTTCATCAGGTAAGCAACACTCATTGTCTGCCTCTTACATTCTATCAGAATTTATATCCTCAGCTGATTAATCTAACTGTTTTGGTTCAAAACAGCTGATCCAAATGTACAATTTTTGAGCTCACCTCGTCTAAAAGAGGACGATTTCCTGCTACTGTAGTAAGTTCAAGTACACTATTTCTTTGCTTTTCTGACAATGGTGCGAGAGGAGAATCCTTCACATCCCATAGACTTAGCTTCTCCTTTATCTCATTGGAATACGACGAATACCCAGCTTGAGCTTGAGCCGCCATGTTGGCACTTCGTCCGAAATGCATTAAGGTTTTTATAACGAGACTGCATTTATTACAAGTCAGCTGTTACCCAAGTAAAAACAAAATGGCGGCCGAATTGTCCATTTTAGCAAGTTCGTTTCTGGAGACGAAACCCGAGAGTTATACAGCCTTTTTTCTTGAATGCATAGAATCAAAACAGCACCTTAATTTAGAGGTAAGTAAAATAACAGCTTTATTTAAAATCCTCCGTTTAAATACTTCTTGGTATGTTTGTTTTCATTAGGTGGGTACACCACGTGCAATCCTCACCCGGGTAAAATATAATTTTTTCTATCCTTTACTTCAGAAAATTCCGGATGGCTGGATAGGAAAAGTCAATAGTCTTCTTAATTCAAAGACTGACTGGTAAATGTAGATATTTTTATTGCAAGGTGATATGCTGTAA